CTCTCTCTCTCTCTCTCTCTCTCTCTCTCTCTCTCTCTCTCTCTCTCTCTCTCTCTCTCTCTTTCTCTCTCTCTCGTAGCCCGGGATGACTTTGAACTCCTGACCTTCCTCACCCACCTCCCAGCCACCATTTCCAGCATTTGAAGCCACCATGACCAAGACTCCACAGTGGAAATCGGTATGTTTGCCCAGGTGAGCAGGTTGATATGTTCATGACAAGGATGTTTTTAGTTCATGGTCCACAAAAGAAGCCTGTGTGTAAGGGGCAAACACCACAAAGCTGGTTGCTGAAGGACACAGGCCGTCTTGAAGGCCACATAGTCCCTGGAGCACAAAGTCCACTACTAGAAGTCCAAGAATGCAGTCCAACCTGGAGACTGGAGCCCACAGCCACCAAGAATCCTTGGCGATCCCAAGATTGGAAATCCCACCCCTCCAAAGTTCCTTGCATCTGGGGCTTGGTTTAATTGTTGTTTGTTTGGGTCTGACTTTTTGAGATAGTTTCTCTGCCTAGCCCAGACTCACTTCACACTGAGGATCCTCTGGCCTCAGACTACCTGGCGCTGGAATCGCATGCCTATTCTGTCACACCCACCTGTACCTCAGGCTAGGTGTGTCTGCACTTAGGGCCTGGAGGTGACAAGGACACATTCACATCCTGCTTGGAGACTCAGTTCTCTGCCCTGTGGCAAACGGAGATGATCCTGGAATTCAGTGAGGGTTTTTTTTGTTTTTTGTTTTTTTTGGGTTTTTTTTTTTTTTTTGGTGTTTTTTGTTTGTTTTTTGTTTTTTCTCAGAGCTGAGGACCGAACCCAGGGCCTTGTGCTTGCTAGGCAAGCGCTCTACCACTGAGCTAAATCCCCAGCCCCTTGTTTTTTGTTTTGTTTCATTCTTTAAAAAAAAAAAAAAAGTGGATTGGATTTTCCCCAGACTTGACTCGTCTTTTAGAGAAATCACTTTATCTTTTTAAATTGTCTAGTTTTTCTACACCTCCTTCAGAAGTCAAAATAGCAGTAGATGTGCTGGGTGAGTTCAATGGGATAATGGAAGTAACCCAGGCTCCCAGGGCAAGCACCTTCACACACTGAGTCCTCCTCAGCCCTGTTTCTGTCTGTCTGTTTGTTTGTTTGTTTTTGTTTGTTGAGAGGGAGACTCACTGTAATGCCCAGGCTAGACTCAAACTTATTAGGCTCAAGAAAGCATCCTGTTTCAGCCTCCCTAGTAAATGTTTTTACAGGGGTGTGCTACCACGCCTGGTTAAATAAAAGGGGCCTTCCAGAAGTCAAGAGTACCTCTGATGATACCACCGTGCGTTAAGCATGTACCACGTGCTAAGTATTATTGGTGGGGCCTGGGTAGGCTGAACAGTGTATACCCGACCCTGGTTGAGCTGGGCCCAGTGCTAGGTGAGCCTGGCCAGGCTACTTGAATACTCTTTCACTGGCCCTAACTGAAGAGTAGAGATCCTTGGACCTCTTGGGATGGCCATTATTGTAAGAAACACAAAGAAAACGAAAGAAAGGCCCATCATAGTGGTCAGGACGGAATCTCCCACAGAGGAGAGGCAGTCTCTGTGTCTGTTTTCTTTTTCTATTTCCTGGGGCTTCTTGAATAATTCTGATTCCTAGGCCAGCTGGGTTCAGTGTTCTGGGCAAGGAACGGACCATGTCACTTGAAGGGAAGTGTCTCCCTCTCCCCTGTTATAGACAGGAAAGGTAAAACTCAAGGAGAACAAGTAACATGGCCAAGAGAATCAACTTTGCTTTTTGTTTGTTTGTTTGTTTGTTTGCTGTTTTTTTCTTTTCTTTTCTTTTCTTTTTGTTTTTTTGTTTTTTTTGCTGGTGTCTGTGTATGTGTATATATGTGTGTGTCATGTTGCCTCTAAGACAAAGTCTCACTCTATAGCCCTGGCTATCCTGGAACTCACTCTGTAGCCCAGGCTGGTCTCAAACTCACAGAGACTTGCCTACCTCTGCCTCCCGAGTGCTGGGATTAAAGGCCTGTGCCTCAATTGCTGGTTTCTGTGGTTCCAGGAATCAAACTGAGGGCTTTGTGTATGCTAGGCAAACACTCAACCAACTGAGACACATCTCCAGCCCCTAAATTTTGAATTTAAAAACAAAACAAAACAAAATACTATTGCACTTATTTTGGAGGCAGACATGCCATAGCATACATGTGGAGATCTTAGGGATCAAACTTGGTCAAGCTTGGCAGCAAGTGTCTTTCCCATCCGAGCCATCTTACTGGCCCCTGCATCTTGAATGTCATAACTCTGAGTTTTGGTATTTTCTTTCTGGGTTTGCCTTTAAGCTGAAATAGACATATGTTCACTTTATGAGCTTCCAAGCTTGTGTGTTCACAA